TGATCTCTTTATTTTCTGACTTATTGAGCATCTTTTGTTTTTATTATTTTGAACTAATTTGCTTTTTTCCCTTTGCTTAACAGACCTTGGTAATTTTTTAACTACTTCCATGTTACTAATCTTTCTTCTTTTGTATCAAGCAGCTAATTTAGATATACTAAACCTTCTTTATTTATTTTATTTCTGTTTCTCTTCTATAAATCAATATCTACAAGTTTATTTATTTTAATGTCATATTCAAATATTGTTTATAAATTGTCTTTAGTTTTTATGTTTATTTTTAATTTTCTTGCTTTTAATATTGTTAAGCAAGCCAAGTTATTCCTCCAGCTGTTTGTATTTTTTAATATCTTTTCTATTTTCTATATATCTTCTGTTAGGCCTACCCTTTGGCAGCCTTGTGTTATTCTTAGTTTTGTTAACTATCCAAGTCCATCTTGTCTTTTTAATCTTGTTACTAGCCTATCTACTTGTTTTATTACTACCTCTTGTTATAATGTTCTACAACTTTCAAGGTTTTTGTGTTCTATTATGCAGTTTTCTAATATTCTTTGCTAATTACTTTTCTGTTTTGCCAAACTTATTATTGGTTAATGTATTTTACTTAAGCTTCTTTCTGACATCTTTGTTGGTTATAGTATGTAACTTAATTTTTTTTTAAATATTAAGGTGAGTACTTGTGACCCAGGATTTTATTGATAGTATATTTAGCTAATAGTTGCTTTACAACTACAGAGGGCAACTATAGAAAGAGTGTACAATTAGCCACTCATACAACTTTAGTCATTGTCTAATTTAAGTAGTCTGTCTGAAGGTTCTACACTAGCTGCCATACCTGGAACCTGCTTGTAAGTTTCTTATTTAACTATTCTGTTCCTGTATCCACCCATCTACCTACACCTACCAAGATGTCCTGGTCAATACTGATGCAAATATGCCATGGTTACTAAGTCTTTAAAGCAGTTCACTCATATGGGAAACCTTTAACCTTATACTAAACCTTTCAGAATCTTCTGTATTTTATTCTTACAGCTAACCTGATATCGCTATAGCTGAAACCAATACTGGTTGTCAGGGCATACCATTTAACCACTATGTTCTTGTAGAGTTCACCCCAACCTTGGTACTGACTTTACAACATATCCCTACTACTTTGGTATTCAATTCAAGTTCCATCAAGCTCTTAAACCAGATAGCTCAGAAAGGCAGGTCATAACTATACATTTCTGATTTACATGTTTGCTGGCATGTAATCTTTTCCTTCAGAACCTGGAAATTCTGGCAGCCTGGTTGGTTCCATTCAGCCCCTCTTCAAAGGCTGGCTCTTTGTCCAGTTTCACAAGTTCTAGCTCTGTTTCATAGGTCTAGTCTTTACAGTAGCACTATCAAAAGTTTGGATTACTTCTCTACTTGGGTCTTCCAAGTGGGCTTCTATCTTTTTACCTGGTTTCTATGATTTACATGGCCTAAGAACTTATCTTGGGTTTACACCACCTGGTACTGGTTTGTGTTTCTTCATACAACATTGCACAAATGCTTAAACCTTCTAGTTATACTGGTATAATATGGGTTACAGGTGTCTTATCCCAACCAATCATGAAAGACAGTTAACCATAATACAGAAAGAATTGCAAATTTTCGCTGTTACTGAGATTTGAACTTTAGACCTGCCACTTGGTGATTGACAACCTATCCACTTCACTAGGTTACTACACCCCTTGGATTGGAAATTTGTATCTTTGATTTTTATTAAAAGATGTTATATAATTTTGAAAAAAGTTTTCTTTATTATGGAGTAATATAAAGAATATAAACAAAATAAAGTAAACTATAGAAAGTATATAATTAGTAAAAGTATTATAAGAAAGATCACAACCTGAAAAAAGAAAAAATTAAATTTCTTATTACTAATAGGTGCTACTAAAGAGCAGTCTTTATAGAGATCCAAGTGGTTTCAGGGCTAGCATTATTATTACCTTTTTTCTGTTTATTAATACCTGATTTCTCTAAGACCCCTCAAGCTACTTTAAATTTACTAGATGTTTTTGAGATCTGTTCAGTTAAATGAGCTTTATTTAGGACTACTTTTTGAAGAAGCATGTTTCTCTTTATCAATGCTCTTTGAGTTGTGACTAAATTATCTTTCATCTGTGCTAATTTATTTTTTTTTTCTACTAATGTATTTTTTAAATTTTTTTTCTCCAGATCTAGTTAAATATTTTTAGTAGATAGTTCTGTATTTTTCACTTTTAATTTATGTTTAAAAGATTTTATTTCTGATAACTCCTTTTGAGCTAAAAAAACATCTACTCTAATTCTTTTGCTCTAGATTGAAGAGATTGTATCTCTTTCTTTACCTTGAATTGAAGGGCTTGCATCTTTTATGATTTTATAGAGAATTTGCTTTTAGCATCTGTAAGAGAAATATCCTTGTGAGTAATCTGAAGCTTAAAATCATTTATTTCTAAATGCAATTATCTTATCTTATTTCTAAGCTTAGAATCATTTATTTCTGATCATAATTATGCTATTTTTTTTCCAAGTTAGTGCATCTGATTAGAAAATTTTTTATTTTCTTTTTTGGATTTATTAAAGTCATCCTGTATGCACTTATTTTCTTTTTTTAATTGATTTAAAGAATTTTGCATATACTTATTTTCTCTATTTAAGATATCATATTTATTTGCAAACTAACTTTTCCAATATATAGCAACTTTACAATTTTTTTTTACACAAAAAAGTTGTTCTTTAAGCTCTGTTCAGCTGGAAGTATATTGATTAGCTAAAGAATTTTCAAATTTATTACCATTATTTAAATCTTTTAAGGTATGAATTTGGAACATTTTATTAGTAATTTTTTTTTGAAGAAAAAAAAATCTTATGTTTTTGGACTTGAAAGTAAGATATTTTAGATAAAAAGCATTGAACTATCTATTAATGCCTATTAATATACATTGATGAGTATTAAAATATATTGATATTTATTAAAGAGCATTAATATGTATTAATGTGTACTGAAAAATATTGATATATATTAGAGAATATCGACTTATATTGAAAAGCATTAATATATATATATTAATACATATCAATATTTATTAAAAAAATATTAATTTTTTTCCTAGTATATAAAATCTAGTAAAGATGGTTGTCTGTTTCTCTGATACATTTTATGATGCTAAGATAACCTTGTTATCAAAAGCTAATATTAAAGAAATTAGAGAATCAAGAGGTAGGATATCCAATGCATCAAAAATAATGGCTAAAAAATTTTATATTGGGCCTAAATGTATTTATAAAATATGAGATTATAAAAAACACCTTCAGCAAAGGGTTATTTTATCACAGTCTGTTTTGAAAAAAAAATTTCAAATTTATAAGAAAAACAGATTCCTAAAGCAGTATTAGAAGAAGTATCTATACTTCTTTTATTTACAGAGATTTTAAAAAAGAATAGTTGAAAAGGAAAGGTTAAAATAAATAAGAAACCAATTATTAAAGCAACCAGTATAGTAAAAAAAAATAACAAAAATAATATAGCCTCTTTCTCTAACAATTTATCTGATATATTCAAAGAAGATAGGTTAGAATCTCTTCTTGAAAACTTAGTCAAACATGATAAAAAACTTAAAAGCTTAATAGTTGATACTTCTAATATCTCTTCTATATAAGAATTCACATATATTAGCAAAAAACTTTCTAGTACTTAAGGCCAAATAGAGCTACTTCTCAAGCTTTGTACAGTTTATATATTTTTTTTAAGTTCTTTTTATTATTTAGATTAGAGAAATCAGTAGATAGAGGTGTGGCAACCTAGTGAAGTGAATAGGTTGTCAACCCTTAAGTAACAGGTCTAAGGTTCAATTTCCACGAATAATGAATTTTGAAAATTATACATATGTTACAGTAACTGTCTTTTGCTGATCAGTTGGGTTTTGGGTATCTGTAATCTTAGATACACCAAGTTGGGTCCTACCTAACATTGGGAGCTTGGGGCATCTATGCGAAGTGTAATGTTACATGATACATATACATAGAGAAATGTAAAACCAGTATCGTATAAGGTTTCGAGCAAACTCATGATAAGACCACTGATCGTAAAAGGCTAAGAAACTGAAAAGACAAAAACTCACTTGGAAATCCTGAGTAAAGAGGTAGCACAAACTTTTAATGGTGCCATTGGACTGATAGAAGCCCATGAAACACATTCATAAGAACTGTCGAATAAACTGGATGACAAAAATGTGTAGAGGAGCATATGACCAACTAGGCTGTCAGAATCACTGGAGGAAAAGAATACATAAGTATATCATATTGGGCCATCTGGATTAGATGTCTAGGGAGTCGGTTAGTTCTGAGTTGCAACTAGTAGGGGATAATGAAGAAGAAGTCAGAAAGATGGGTATCAGAGTTTAGATGAACTTTACAAAGATAATAGCAGTTTAAGGAGTAACCCTGACTGCAAGTGTTAGTCTCGGCCATAGCGTCAAACTAGGTTAGCAGTAAAAGGGAATATGGCTTGCTCTAGTAGGTTTGCCTCAAGGATAAAAATAGTCTAAGGATTATAGTCCTATAGTTAATAGTGAATAGATCTGAGTTTGTGACTTAGTAAAATTAATACTAGGGTTAGATCAGAGGGTTTAAATAGAACATCTAAGCAGAAGTATTAGGTACAGCAACTAGTAGGAAACCCTTGAGCAGACTCCTTAAATAGGTAATATAAAAAAGTTACATATGTAGCCAGTTGTACACTCATCTAATAGTTCATTATAGATACGTCTATATAAACATGTACTCACTATAAGTATTAATAAAAAGCTCAGACCAAAAAGGTTACCTTAATACTAAAAAAAAAAAAAAATCAGTAGATATTTGGGCCAAATTATGTAAACCCTCTAGAACCTGCTTCTCTTTTGGCAGAATCTTAGCTTCTGAGACCATGCTAAATGTTAAGATAATGTAAGTCTTTTTATATAACTTTATTCAGAATTGATTTTTATTTAAATCAATAATATTGGTTTGAGTTTATCATTATTAATATGAGCAAAATTTCTAGTAGCTGTAACAATCTTATCATTTTTGTCCTTTATACTAATTGGCACATCTGTATACTATTTCAATGATTTGAAAATATGTTTGGAATTATCCTTTATAGCAAAGTTAGAAGATTTATTAGCTTTTTACCTTAGGGCATTGATTGTTGCATCATTTACTCTCTCAAATTCACTTGTGCTATCTAAAAAAGAATTAGTAATCAATAGATCATTTATATTATAATGCAAGTATTGCAATAATAAAAATCACTCATCTAATTTTAATTCTTTTTCCTAAACTATATGAGACTGATACATTTTATACATTGCTAGTAAAAGTTTTGGCAACAGCTCATTATACATTTTGGCTAGCTATATTCTGCTAGTATCTGTTTTTTTCTGATAAATAATATCTAGTCCATTTATTATTTTTTTTCATCATAATCATTATTATTGTTTTTCTTATTATCTAAAGCTAAAGGTGTGTATTGGGACTATGTAGATGGAAGTTGGAGATAATAATGTGTAAAATTTAATTTAACTACAGATTTTTAAATTGATTATTGAACATTATCCTTCTGAATTGAGATGTTATTTGACCAATTTTATTTACTTTTGATTTTATTCTATTTATTCTTATAGATTGGTTTTATTGAGAGTGAGATCTTTGAAAAAATTTTATAAAATAATCTGAATCTAATTCATTTTTACTTATTAAACCTATTTTATTTAAGAATTTAGATACATAATAATTCTGAAAATCTTTTTCTAATTGCAATAATAGTAGAGGACCTCTTAGCTGTCTAACTGATTTAATAGTTTGTAGAGCTGATGCTTGTGCTTTTTGAGCAACTGCTTGCTAGATCATTTGTGATTAGAAATTAACTTTTTGTTTTTCTAATAAAGATTGGTATTCAGTTTTTTGCTATATTAATGCTTCTTGAATTACTTTTTGTATATTATTTTTAGTAAAAGCTAATTAAAAAGCTAAAGCAACTAGTAGTAAAAAATAGGATACTGGATATATACTAAGTAAGGTTTGCATTTAATTGAAAATTTGATTTAATTTTTCTGGGATTCTTTTATTCAAATTTTGTTCATGCTCTAGTTACATATTTTTTTTTTTTTTTTTTTTTTTTTTGCTCTTAAGCAGCCACACTAGTACTTTATTAAGATTCTTGTAACTATATACAATAACTACATAGAATTTTCCCAATAACTAAGTCCAGCATCAC